TTATTTAATAATAAAGTATGTAATATGTGTTAATGTATTAAAATCAAAGCAAAATATGTAGTAAAATAAAATTTATAAATACGTAATTAATTTTTTTTTTCCACTTCGCCTATAAGATTCATTCGGTTATAAGACTCACTTTGTGCTGGTCCCAAAGTGAGTCTTATAAGCGGCGTCTACTGTATTTAAATTGTTTATGAATTTAAAATATCTCACCCCCAAATAAGGGTATTTCAGATTAAGTATGGTTATTTCTACAGTTTTTTACATCGTAGCAGAGTGGCGCAGTGGAAGCGTGCTGGGCCCATAACCCAGAGGTCCGTGGATCGAAACCACGCTCTGCTAGACTTACTTTTTGCTTTTTTTTATCTTACTAAATAGTATTTAAAGTTTCAACCAATACGTATTGTTTATAGAATTTAAAGATATTAGAAGTTTATCATGGAAAATATATTGCAAACATACACATGATATAATATTATACAAGTAATAAAAAGTTTTCTGCTTTAAATTATGTAATAAAATATAATGCCACATTGGTTATAAAAAAATTTAAATATTTAAACATTTATAAATTATATAAGACATAATTATCCGGTGATCGCGCTATAAAGATTATCAGTTATCACATTGTAACATTTAGTGTCTATATTGCAGGCAAATAAATTATGTATTTCGATTTAATGCTTATTAGTTATTATTTATTACTATACCGCGGATTTGTTGATCGTATGATATGCTAAGTGAGAATAACATTTGTTTCATGACCTAACGATTTGAAAAATGAAACTTTTTTGTGCATATTTTGACATTTTTCTATTTTAAACGCTTATTTTACAATTTTAATTGCATATTTCATCTTTTAGTGTTTATTTCGATGTTTTTTTTATGTTTTTTTAGACAGTTTTTAAATATATACTATTGTTTATTATAATATAAGAAAATAATATTATATTTTTATAGTTTCAATTAATATTAAAATAAATTAATATGTATACGTCTTGTATACATATTAGGTAATAACGTGCTATGTAACACTTTTTCCGATTTTATTTTTTTTTTAAAAACTTAAAATTTAAGATTTTAATTATTTAAATATGTACAAAAATGATTTAATTTAATATTGTAATTTTATTTATAAGGACTAGATAATAAAAACATGTGCAAATATAATATTTTAATTTTTTTAAACATGTACAAAAATGATTATGTTTAAAGTTGGAAGAACGTGCTACGTGCAGTCCAAATAATATTTAAATGAAATATATAAGTTATTTTGTTTTTACTTGATACTGAACATTTTTCAAATTGTTACATAGCACGTTATTCCCGCCGACCCTTCAATTATCGGGGAAATAAAACACGTATACCAAGATAAGAAAATATCGATTACGGTTATGATTGAACATTAACATTATTTCACTATTATTTAATAATAATTATTTTTTTGTTACCTAATTTTTTTTATGCATATTTTTATTTTTCAAGCATATTTTAACATTTTAGTGCATAATATATTATAAATTAATGTATATTTAAAAAATTTTTAGCGTATATTTGATTGGGTTTTTCGCACTCTACAAATATTAGGTACATATTATTATATATGTAGGTATTCACATTGATTATTTTAACAGTATCTAAATATTCACTAAAACCATAAACAATATCTGAAATATTTTTTCATACAATAATTTAAGTTTATAACAGAAAAAAAAATGAATTGTTTTATTAATTCATAATTTTATAATTTTTTTTTTTTTTAAATTACAAATTTAATTTCATATTTAAAGTAGAATAACTTGTTGAGAATTTTGATAGATATATTATATTGTAATTCGAATTTAACCGTGTAGTTAATTAATTACGTACTTTTAAGTACTTACCTATTTTACCTATTCAATGTTTTGACGGTTAATAATGAGTCATCAATTTTTTTTTATATGTCCCGTGCCATTTAAACTTTAAAAATTATAAATTGATAACGACAAAAAAATGAATATTATTTGAAAAGATGCAGTTTTGTAATGAATTTTATGAATTCAAATCATAGAACGTTAAGGCTTTTAATGGGGTGTATAATATACTGACTATAATTAATATCCGCTATTCGACAGTTAAAAATTTGGCATTTTAAAATCTAATCGGAAGTTTTAAGATTTTATCACCCCGTGTCTTTTTAAGTCTGTTCCTGCATTTGATTAGTGCAACATCTGATCTTCACGCGAGAGCTATTAGAGTAAATTCATAACGTGCGTGATCATAATAATGTGTTATCGTTATATAGCTTGTCGATTATCTAACTAACAACCACTAAACAGTTGTTTTGACGAAAATATTCTCAAAACATTGACATTTGATAAAAAAAAATTGCGACTTAACGAACGTGATTTTAAATCTAAATTTATAATAATATACTATTATCATTACTTAAAAATTATCGTATATTATATGATTTATATGGGTGTTGTCGTATACCCGCTTTTCAATTTTATACCCATCTCTATCGACACTTGAGTCACCCTCAGGGTCACTACTCACCAAAGGACCATAATAATTAAAATTTTACAGTTGGTTCTTAAAAGTCGATATGTTTAGACTTTCAATCCTCAATGACCATAAATTAACCGGTTTAAGATCGGATTTAAGGAGTATGACCGAATTACGTGGCTACTCAAACAAAATATACACTTTACCGGTCGGAAACACAATTTATTCAACAATTAACAAAATCACTATTAACAAAACTCTTACGAATTTACGATTGTCTTTTCGTCGTCCTTCCGTTTTCAACGAATTTCTCGATGACTACTGATTGACCCCACCGTCCCCACCACTGTTGTACCTATACTTGTATGGCAGTGTTATATAAGATATGATTTTTATTTACCTCAGCACATTCGCTTCATAGGCCTGACCTACTTTTATAATAATATCTTATTTGGTAAAATTATTCTTACCTATAATATAAAAAATAAATAAAACAATATAAATAAAATTGACTACTGTCTACATTATACGACAGTGTATTTGTTTAAACAACCTCAAATAACCTCTCCTGTTGTTACAATTTATTTTGTAATTTTTGAACAATTTTAATTGTTCATAAAAAGAATGGCTAGGCTTATATCCATTATTCAACGCGACGAATTAAGCGTGCTGCAGTACTCTAGCCACTATGATGTGAGCAAGTAGTAAGTACAAAATGAACAATAACTACATTGGCGTAAATCGGACTCAAAATTCAAAAGGGCCTTGGCCCTCTCTATGATGTATAATTTCATTTTAATACCATGTAATTTAATATATCGGTAATTTTTATTATAATAAATAAATAATAATAATAATAATAATAATATTATGTTGGTAGGTTTTCGTTGATTTTAATTTAAACGTTTTATAAACAATTTATGATTTATTATAACTTATAAGTAATTATTAGTTAATAGTTATAAAAACGGTTTGCTGTGCCGAATGCTGTTGTGTTTGGACAAAATGCATCCTTGTCCGAATATATATATAAACGTACACGAGCAACGAACGTGTGCGGTATGCAGGGGTACGTACAATTATACCGTGCCCTTCAACTATAAAAATATAATATAAAAAATAAAATTGTGTAAATGAAGTGAATAGAATGTCTTGCTCTTTTAGTTCTTGAAACATTTTGAGTACAAGCCCTATATAAGGCGGTTAAAACGCAACTGGTGTAGATATGTTAATATAATTTAAAAATATATATATATTGTATATGTGTTTAAATTAATGTATAATCTTAATTAAAAGTGTCATCGCTGGGTGGCTGTTTTTATCAAGCTCATTCAGGTATTATATTGTAACTTAGCTAATACTCTTATTGTACCTTTAGGCCTTAAGGTACAGATTGTGTATGTAATAATAAAGGAAAAAAAAGCCCTATATATTTGAGAACCCTACTAAAGTATTATGACTATTATGAGATGAGTCATGACAATAAACATCGATTATCGGGATGTATTAAAATATGTTATCAATTATCACTATCACTCAGACACTCAGTATACAGTACAGTATACCCGTTGGCACAACAGCGGTTTTCGATATAACGGGGCGTTTCTACTAGAATGAGACAAACGCAGTTGTGATGAATAGTGAATACTGAGCACAAGTATCCGGAGTAATAGTTTAATATATATCTTATATTATAATTATTTTATAAATGATAAAATTATTTAAAATTATTAATTATGCCGAGATTGTTGGCCGATATTATTAAAATTAAAATTAAATATAATAGTATAAGTGTATACAATTGAAGTGGACATAACTGTACAGTAAAGTGCATGCAATAAATAGCTTATAAATAGTTAACAGATTATGAGTGACTTGTCTTAAATATTGTAATCGTATCATAGCCGCGAAACATTTGACGAAGAGGCAAGTCTATCCGTTTGGATTAAAAGGTACCTTAAATAGTTATTTATAAATATCTACAATACAATTAGTATTTAATAATTACTATTATTAACTTTCATTCGATTTTAGCAACAATTATTAATATTAAATATTGAGAAGTATAACATTTTAAGACTAAAACTTCGAATGTTCAATGCATATCAAATTCTTATCATTCTTATCTATAATATATATATTTACTATCTATCTTACCATATAACACATTCAAGGTTGATCATAAAATAAATAAATTAATTCACTTTGCGCATAATATATTATTATTATTTATTTGTATCATATTATATACTGCTAATATTATTAACAAAAACAGTATGAGGAAAATATAAATATAATTATATTTTAATATTTAGTAATAACAATGTGCTGTAAGGTCCAGTTCTCAGTGTGTCCAAACAAAGATACAAAAAATTATAGAACTGAATTGTAGGTTGGATGGTTTGATATAACAGTATTATTAATATTTATACCACAAAAATTGTTTTAATTAATCAACATTTTAAACACTACGTATTATTTTGTATAATTTTATTTTAGTTGTTAACGTAGCTATAATGTAACATTCATAAGAATAGTTAGGGCTTGGATCTTAGCTCCCCCCCCTCAAAATGTAGACGAAGTCCTTCACGAGTCGATAAATTTAAATTTTTATCATAATTAAATTGTAAAATGTGTAAATTTTTTTCTTTCTGAAATAGTAATAATTGTCTGCGTTTTTCATTTTTTCTACATATATGACCGTAAAAAGTATCTTACAACTACTTAAACCGGTATTTAGCACTTGAAAAGGCAGGTACTGTCAGACTATTTGTAATGATAATTCATAGAAATTCAAAAAAAAAAACAATTTTATTTTATAATACTTATATTATTCCAAAGAATTTAATTTTATTAGAATTTGATTTTTATAATCTAGGTACGAAGTAGCTGATAGGAACTCGTATACCTATAACTTATAAGGCTACAATATACAAAATATAATATAATAACAGTTTATAAATATAATAGATTTACATAAATACTTATACATGAACACATATCATAATTATATAATAATAATTTAATAAGTAATAACTAAATAGTAGGTACCTGGTATCTACAATAACAAACCGTCTTTGTCTTTTTCTAATCACATTATTATTTTACTAGGTAGATTTATCATTAGTTAAAAATTTAAATAAATTTAAATTAAGTTTATTATATTATGTCATATTACTATCTGATATATCATCTATTATAAATAGGGTGATTTTTTTTTTTATTATAGAACACTTATTATTCAAAAAGTATTTAAATTAATAAAAATATATATTTTTAAAGTATTAGTTTTTTGTAATGAGTATCCTTTGATAATAGAATTATTTAGCATACGATAAACAATATACATTTACTTAATTTTTTTATACATATATAATTTATGAATCTCAGAGAAAATATTGATATTCAATTTATTATACTTAGGTATACGTAATATACGTATAGTATTCGTAAATAAAATTTAACAATATGAGAGTAGCTATAATCGGAGCAGGAGTTGCTGGCTTGGCTTCTGCTAGAAGATGTTTAGAAAATGATTTTGAACCCATAGTTTATGAAAGGTCGAAAATAGTGGGTGGAACTTGGGTATATGAAGAACGAACCGGACTTGATGAATTTGGTTTGCCAATCCACACAAGCATGTATAAAAATCTAATGTATGTATTTATTATTATTTCGTATGTGTATTAATTTATGTGTATAAATCAATTACAATGATTTAATTATACCAATAAAATTTTTAGGACAAATTTGCCAAAAGAATTAATGGATTTTCCAAACTTTCCTTATAAGGGTTTAGACGATGTATCATATTTAAAATGGTGGCAAGTTCAAGAATATATTGAAAAATTTACTGAACATTTTGGGCTTAATAAGCACATTCAAGTGAGAATACTTTATTTGTGTTCAATAAATTTGAGGAAGAGGGTACACAAGTAGGATAGTTTACTTAAATTCTTACATAAAATTGCTTGTCTAGAGTATAGAAGTGTTTAAAGTTTAAAGTGAATCTGAAAAATATTATATTATCTTATAATTATCTACCAAGAGATTTTATGCTTTAGCACATATATTTTATAGCGAAATGTTTTTTTTCTTTTTAATGGCTTACATCGTGATATTTATTATTTCTCGTAGTTTTGTACTTTGGTGACTGCAATTGAAAGATTAACAAACAACTGGCAGGTAACAGTGGAAGACTTGAAAACAAAAACATTAAAAACTGAATACTTTGATGCAGTAATGGTATGTAATGGACACAACGCTATGCCTTTTACTCCAGATATTCCAGGGAAAGATGATTTTGAAGGTGTCCAGATACATAGTCATGATTATAGGATACCTGAACATTTTACAAATATGAATGTTCTTATAATTGGTAGTGGTCCTTCTGGTATTGACATTTGCTTGGATGTATCCAAAGTTGCAAATCAGGTAAATGTTAATTACTTTGTATTGAATAAATTATTTATGTTAAGTACCTAGTTACATTAAATTTAAAAATAAATCAAACTTACTAAATATGATTTCTAAAGAATTGAAAAATATGGTACATTATAAGATTAAATGTCATTCCTATAATTTATTATATAGGTAAATACACGCATATTTAGATTTTAATTTAGTATATATTTCATTATATTAGTTCCTATAGCTTCAGATTTATAACCAATATACGTAATTTCCTAAATATTATTAATGAACATAATTATCATTATTTACATGATTGTAAATTTGTTACTGGATATTTTTCACGGTAAAGCTAATATTTAATTATATACCAAGTGTAGCCAAGGTTTATTTTTTGTTAGAATTTAAAAATAAAAAATTGTTTGGAAAAGTTATTTTTAAACAAAAGATTTGTAGGTAGGCCCGGGGTAATACAAGGCCTATCTGCTAGTTACGTTTAAACTTCAAATAAAGTTGTATAATTTCAGAAATGTGTATTGTATTGAAATTTTTATATTGAATAAATAAAGTTATTAGTATATTAATTAATAGTCAGATAACATTGAATAATATTAACATAATTATATTTTATAATGATAAAATTATATTCCTATATAAGATGTAATATACTCTAATACTATAGCTATACATATACAATTTTAATAATGATATGCGAAGACGTGAAATAGTGTCAATAGAAATACCTTTTATATCGAGTTTCATAATTTTGTAAATATTTTATATCATCAAGATTTTTTTAATAGATTATATTATTATGTGTCTATACAAAAAACAAAAACAAATTGTAGAATTAAAATATTTTTTTATAAATCATTGATAAGATTAAAGATTAATTAAAACTTAATTTACCCGTAAACCGTCCATCTTAAATTAAATTATAATTTTTAAGTACTAAATGTATGTCTACGTGGCTTTATTAACTTTATAATATTTTATAAGATAATGTTGATTTTATGATGATGTGTGATTTTTTCCTCAAATTTTTCGTTTATAGGTTTATTTTAGTCATCACAAACCTGAATTAATTGAGAAAGAATTTTCAAAAAATGTCATACATTTTCCAGACGTTGAATTATTTTCTAAAAAGTCTGTTTATTTTAAGGACAAAACTAAGCAGACGTTAGATGCTGTAATTTATTGCACAGGTAAATGCATTACTGCATTAGAAATATTATTTTTTAAAGAACTGCTGTCTATTATATTAAATACATGTACGAATGTTTAATGGATTAAAAAAAAAAAAACAATATCCAATCATAATTTATTATAACTTAAGAATATTCAAAATTTACGTAGGTCTACTTATATAAATCAAAAATTGTAGTTGCTTAAAAAAATAAAAATATACAAAATTATTTAGATATTGTCTGATTTTTTTAGGATACAAAATTACATTACCATTTTTAAAACCTAGTTGCGGAATTAAAGTTTTGAACGACAAATTGATTACTCCGCTTCATAAAAATATCATCAATATAAATAATCCTACTATGGGTTTTATTGGATATTTGAATATGACTTTTGTGTTCCGGGTATTTGATTTACAGGTACCTATATTTTAAATTATATCATAATTATTTATATATTAGGTATATCGTATATATACATTTATATTTATTTATTCTGGATAATATAGTTTAATGATGTAAGTATAAAAAATCGGCCCAGATGCTGAAAATTGTATATATTTCAAAAATGCATTGCAAAAACTAAAAAATCTAGATCAAATAACAGAAAGATCGTGATTGTTGGACACTTATTGCTTTTCTTATTTTATTAGTGTAGGATATTGTTATGATGCGTTAAATCAATACGAAACCATTCAGAAATGAATTTTAAGCTCAGTTAAAATCAACTTGAAAATATTTTGGTGAGAAAATATGTTATTTTAAGACGTAATTACTATCAGTTATAATTATTAATGTGTATTGTGTAATGAATAGTAAAAATTAATATTAAATAATTCGTTGTGAATATAACTATATTACTATAGACTATAGAGAATCCTAGTCAAGACGATGACCAGTTAACATAATATCATTTTTGAACAAAACCTCTATCAGATAACTAACAGGTCATAATTTATTTTGGATCGCATTGTACTCTGGGCTTATTTTATAATGTTCATGCTTTTATGAGTTGCGTGTAAAATAATATTTATTTTGACTACCTATATACCTATATTAAATAACCATTTTCAATAATTTTATAGAAACTTGTTAATATTTATTTCTAATTTCTATTAATATTATAGATAGATAATTACATCAATAAATAATATAAATATAATTATAGTATTTATAATTAAAAAAATTAAAAAATTTTTTTTTTAGGTTCGATATTATTTGGAATTTCTTCGTAAAAATTGTTTATCCAGGTTGGATTATATGGCGACGATGATGACTCCGGTCAACACACACTATTTAGGCATCAAATTGTTAAGTTACTGCAAATCGTTAATATCAGATAAAATTAAAGTCGAACCAATTCCATCAATATTTTTTGAAATTTACATGGCATGTCATGAACATAAAATAAAGTATTACAGGTCATATCATTCATCGGTCATTAGAATCATCAACAATAATAATTTTGTAATTGAATTCAATGTAGAAAATGCAAAAAATAAATAAAGTACGAACGTAAATATTTATATTTAATAGGTAATTATAATTATTGAAATTGTGTGTAAAAAAAAAAAACAAAAAAATGTTTTATGAATGAGCTTATTATTTTATCATCGTTGAATTAATGTAGTATTATATTTTGTATAATAATTGTTGACACAATCGATAATATAATATATACATTAAATATTTATAACAAATGTATAATTCTAAGATAAATTGTTAAATCATTTTAATATAAGATATTTTTATTAAAATACTTGTTTATTTTGTAATTATGAATAAAGAAAGATTTTTTTCTAATAAATAAGAATCTGAAAATATAAAAAATTTAACAGAATCTTTTCTGATGATAAATTTAAAAACTAACCTGGAGCATTATATAGCTTTCACGTCTTTGTACAATCATGAATTATACGACTGATTTTAAGGAATAAAAATTAATTTGTGAGATATATCTTCGTATTATCAACTTAGTTACTACGATGATAAATAAACATGTCAATTTTCTTTAAATTATTTATATTTAGCCTCAAACCATATTTTTAAATAATAATTGGCATTATAGAAAAAAAAAACTGGGTATTTAATTTACATAATCAAACCATATTTTTAAATAATAATTGGCATTATAGAAAAAAAACTGAGTATTTAATTTACATAATATTATTATTTATTTCTAAATACTTATATTTAAATTTAATAAGTTTATATTTTAATAATTTGTAATTTATTATTGAAGTATTATTATACAAAGAAAATAGATAACTTTTTTTTGTCGCCTTAAAATTTACTTTGAACATAGGTACGAATATTTATTTATATGAATCTAAGTTTGAATTACACTATTTTGGTTTTACCCAAGATAATAAATAATATGAGATTGATGTTTAAGCGTAGTTGCGTTGTGGCAAACTTTTATTTGATTTACCTTATGTTTTCATGTCGATTTGCCACAGTTTTCACTTATGAGTGTGTGCGCGTCCCGCTGAGCTATCGATGGGAATGATGCGATGCATTGTATTATACTATATTACTACATTCATTACACACTTATCTTCTAAAGGCCAAAATGATTCTTTTTATAATTCCTTACCAGAATTATCATATTTTATTCTGTAGCATAGGCGATGAAATCCCAATGTTTATCAAATCAATAACGTGTTTATTTTATACATCCTGCAATTAAAATATATTTTGATACTATTCGTGTTACAGCGTCATAATAATGTAGTCATATTCAGAGCTGCGTAATCTGCAGCATAAAAAAAAAAAAAATTGTAGGTGTACCGTATAAGTATATTTTACACAATAAAGACGATATGCGTACCGCCGTTACCGCCGTCCTGTGTGTAGCAATAATATTCGGGTTACCACCCGCCGCTGTTGCAGCACCCGCGACGATCGCAATCGACGAATCGTCGTCGATCGCTGGCCCGATATTTCGGACTCAGCCGGCGTCACAATCTGGACCTCGTCACTCTGACAACCCGACTACGATCATTGAAACATTTGAAACTGATTGCGATGCGACGAACCTCCCGCAGGAAAAGATACAGCCCGCAAGTACGAACGAGACAACAACTGACACCGCGTCATACGCCCAGTGAGTTGAGATCATACAATATTAGTTATAAACAACAGAACGTTAATCTTATATTGTTATTATTATTAATGATAAATATATTTAATACGAATATGCATAATCAATGGTATAACAATTAATAATATTCCTGTGGCTTTAGGAGAAGTACAGGATACATTAAAATTTAAACTTCATAGCGTTGTATTTCGGTAAAGAACGATTCAGCAAAGTTTCGGAATCGTGTAGTTTTCAATATGACCATTTACGCTTACGGTTCCACATCAATTTCAATATTGTTTTATATTTACCGAAAGCCGCGAACAACACTCGAGTTATAACCTATCCGTGTATACCCTATTTATTTATGATACCTATTTTATGCATTTTATTCTTTACTTACTCCTACAGGGTTAAACTAAACTTGTAAAATTTATCAGAATATCAATATAACACCACTCCAAACATCTGTTCTATTTGTATCTCTACAGAGGCTAAGAGGCGTTATTACAGTTAAGTTCCGGTCCACACTACTTTAAACTACTCACTATCCATATTTTATAATATACCTTGAAAAATGGATTATAATTTTCTGGGCAGATCTTCCGTTTTTGACCGTACGTCTAGATACGACTGTGGGATGTGTTAGAAGTACGGATTAGGTATCCACCCGTCGTTAAAAACAATGTGTTTCGTTGAAAAATCTAGATCCTGTATCCACTTGTAAATCGTGATATATTCACATCAATGTGTATCGTTCTTATTTTTAACTTATCCATTTTAGTGTGGGCTAGCTCTGAATATTTACATAACATTAGCGCGTATCATGGCGTCATGATGGCTTACATCCGATCGGACACCAATATACTGTTCGCAATGGTGCAGGGGGAGAAAATGCACATTTTGATTGTCCACAAATTATACCACTGGTAATTGGTATCCTGCAATTCGTCGAATCTATTTATCAAAATATAATAACTGGTTATACTATATGAGTGGGTTTAAATTGCGTAGCGTAATATACTTGCAATACTAACATGTCGACGAACAATAATAATTATTAACTTATAAATGAATTATAATCAATAAATGTATTTTTTTAACAATAATTACAGTTATAACGACGAAGATTGCGAAGACGTTGAAAATGATTACATTCTGTTCTTATCTTGGATACCGATAATTTTTTTACTTATGTTAGTTTTGTTGTTGTGTTTGAATCTTCAATATTTTTGTAAATCAAGAATGAAAAAAGACTCTGTGGAAACAATGTGTTTACAATCGAGCAACTCTCGATAAAATATTATACAATAGTTTAAAAAAAAATTTTTGTGAAAATTGACAACAGTGTGTTTAGTAAAAATTAACCCATTAAATTCTCCGATAAAACGTAAACGATATTATACTCGCCGAATAAAATAATTGTAACGCGAAACGATTGGCTGTCAACGTTTTCCGGAACAACGTCACGGATTATTTTTACCGCTGCAGTTTCGTTTTAAAAATAATTTAATTATTTATCTTAATATTATTTGTAAATATTTTTTTTTTACGATTAAATGAATGGACATTTTTCACATTTAATACGATTTACTATCATAATATTAGACGAATTAAAATATCAGTCCAGACAAAATATGCGCAGTTTTTAACTTGGGTGATGGCTGAATGGTGCAAGGAGAAAGAGAATGAGTACCTCAAATAAATGTTCATATATTTTAGCGTATTCTTATCTATTTTTTCGAATTGCAGGGATACATAGGACAGTACCTATTTTATTAAGGATTACTTTACAAAATTACCATTAATATTTTAGTATAAAAAGACGGATAGGTAAGTAACCACGGTTTTAGTTAGATCTATAACCTTTAACTAAAAATTTAATGATTGAATTATAAACGATGAAAAGACTACCAAGAGTATTAATGAAAAATGTTTGTTTACTATGTTAAATACTTAAATGTATTTTGTTGATTCCATTGTTGGGATAAGCATCTCTTGCGGTGTTTGCAGCTTAGTCTTCATATGTTTCTTGTTATCATTAAAATTTGGGACCAATTTTGGACAAAAAATATATATAGGTACGTAATATTGTATGTAGGCGTATATAATATAATTGATTTTAAATACTATTTATAATCAATGATGATAATATTTTTGGAAGAATAATAAAAGGTGTGTGTGTGTGAAGAAATGGGTAGAAGCACTCCACAACTTATAAGGTAAGTAAATTAATTAATTAGAGATTCATATTTTTCATATCATTAGAATACTTCTTTCTATTATTTATTTTCCAAGTTAAGCACTGAATGAGTGGGGGTAAATGTCTTCGAATGTTATGTGTTTGAAGGTCATGTTTTCGAATGACAAGTGTTAGAAAAGTTATTTGTTCGAATAGATATATGTTCAAAAAGTCGTATGAACGAAATAATTTATAGAATATTATGAGTTGTATCATACGAGCACATGAGTTGGGACTGGCCTATTTGCGTTATTCAGGAGACACCACTTTGATGTTTGTTAGAATATCTCCCAAAAATTGTGTTTTTTGTTACGTTAAGGTATATATTAGATTAATTTAAAAAAATAAAAATATTATTGGTGTACCAGCTAAGATCGCACGGGTAATTGTTCAACGTCTAGTCTGGTGACTTCGATATACCCAAATATCACACCGTCGTGGCCGTTGAGACTTACCAGGCGAAGAGGGGTAATTGAACTTCAACTAATCTTCCGATTTTTCAATATAGGGGATATAGGCGATATTCGCATTGTGGAGGGGGGGCGTTGACGAAATTTAATTTTTATTAATTTTCAAAGTATTAGATAACTATTTTTAATTAAAATAGATAACTTTCGTACATACGATTTTTCGAACATATTATCTATTCGAACAAATAATTTTTCGATTACATTACTATTTGAACAAATAACTTTTCTAACACTTATTATTTGAAAATATGACTTACAAACAGTACGAACACATGACATTCGAAAACATGATCCGTTCCGGCACTGAATATACCTAGAAATACTGTATAGGGATACTTAATTTAGATATATTTAATATTCAATTTGAAAATATTTTAATAAAATTCTACTAAATATCGTATTATTTTCGAATATATTTTATTCAGTCATTATTATACACTGAGTAGAGCTTATCTACTATTTACGTATAGTTACATTATACATTTTAGTAATTGTTAAAGAGTTATATTATGTTTATTATATTTTAGTTTCATTTAATACAAACATAAATATGTTTTCAAATTATATGCATAATTAATATTTAATAGTATAATTTATAAATTTATAACATAATTATTAATAAATTATTATCATCTCGAATCTTATATTGAAAAAAAATGTATTTATTAAAACTCCTTATAAGAAATTTGTAGGCAAATAAATATACTGTTTGTAGTTATCACTTTATCAGAAAGTGTTTCATGCTCAAGTGATAAATAACGGGAATTATTTTTACAGTTTACTCATAAAAGTTATAATTTTCAACATTAATTATTTCATACTTATTAGTTATTACCTTTTTTATCCGTAGAAAAAACAGTTACATACCTTCCTAATTATTTTTGTTATTTTTTTTATAAATATATTATATTATTATATATTATACATATATATTTTTTTAATTTGTTAGCTTATTAAATATTATACATTAATCTTTATAAACTTATAGGTTTTATTTAATCATAACTTTTATAAAAGTAATATTGTTCAGTATCTATCTTTTTATAAAATATTTAGTGTTTAATAAATTTTTAAATAACATGTCTTCTACAATATCTGGTAAAATAACTGATGATGTAGGGTCAGTCGCTGCTTTGCGTATAGCTCTCCAAACATTGGCAGAACGTTGTGAAAGACTACAATCTCGATTAGACATAGTCGAAAAAGAAAATGTTACTATAAAAAGTCAATGTACATGTCAAACAGCCAATAACAAATCTTCAGAAGTTAATGTTCAAGAATTATCTAGTAAAAAGCTACAGTTGGTTGAATACTTAAAAATAGTTACTAATGAAAATCGTACGTTGTGGACAACATTATCAACGTTAGATAATCCTGCAGTCCAATCAAATGATAAAATCAAGCCGAAAAACTCTTTAGCCATCATAGACAACTATTTGAAATATAATGGTACGAGCAAACAATTTTGTTGATCATTAAAATAATATTTAATTGATACCTATGTAATGATATATGGCTGATCTCATTATTCATTTGGTAAAATAGATAATTTATAGATTTTTAATATTATCTATAAAATTTTTCTTTAGGTATGCATTTCATTTATTCTTATTACCTACAGAGCACTTGAATTATTTCAAATTTGTATTTATTATTTTTTTTTTAGTTTTTGTTGTAGTTTATTAAAATATTTAGTAGAATGATATGGTAAATATAACATATTCATAAATTCACTGTACAATAATAATTGATTGAATTTCTTTCTTTTTGTCTAACAAAAAAAAATACTTTTAATATCAGTAATGATCCTTTAATTCACATATTACTTAGAAATTAGAATACTTAAATGTGCAAAAAAGCTTTTATTAAATCTTAGTCCTTGATAATTATTAATTTTAAATATACTAAATTTATGATTCACACCTCAATATTTATGAGAAATATATATTTTTTTCAACTTTAATTTGTTATATATTAAAAAAAAAAAAATTATTTGAAGTACCTATTAATTTTGTTAATCTTAAGTAAAATAAAAAATTGTCTCATTAAATGAACTTTGACAGTGTCAAGTATAGCTATTAAATAGTTATAATCTTCAATTATCTTTTTTAAATCATTTACAGCAAATAAATAAACAGATATATTTTTTTTTTTTTTATAGATGTTGATTTCAAGATGAATTCTAATTGTATTATGGTATGTTATATATTTCAATAACTATAGTTTAAATTATTAGTGTCAAAGTATATTTTACCAATTGGTTCAATTCTTAAAGTTTTATAACCACAAAAATATTTTATATTACGCCAACTAACATAAAATATATGACAAACTTGGTTTATCAATACTCATAATAATAAAGTTAATATCTTCCCAACCAAGTTATGTTGAACTGACTGGATGGATAGTGTTTGACACTATTTGTATAAGATATTATTTACCAAAATTTTTGCAAACTCATATTTTTTTTTTTAATTTTATTTCACGATATTAAATTATTTATGTGATTTACTATAAAACCTGTTTATAAGAATTATTAAAGAACATTTAAATATTTATTAGGATGTAGATGATGATTTAATAAGTCTTCAGTATAGTTCAGATGATGAATCTTGGCCTATGTTATTGTCTGAACTCAATGCATACAAAGAAAAATTAACTTTAGCTAAACATTTACTTGCCGATCAAAATAATTTAATTTTTAATGTCACTTCAAGATTTAATCTACTAGTTGAGGGTAAGTCATACTAATTTAGCTTAATTTTTATATGATAATGTATATATATTTTAATCAAATACAAATGAATGAATTGGTCATTTATTTTTCTTCTTTTATAGAAGTTAAAGTTATAAAACCATCTGCAGAGTATCGAGATGCAGAAACATTAACAAACTCTACTGATTCTACTACACCTTGTATTTGTGGGGTTCATGCAAAATCAGATAATCATAGAATATGCCCTTTATGTAAATTATACATTGTGGGAGCTGAAGGTGATAAAATGTTTGATAAATTAGTTGAACATGTAAGCAGTCATTTTCCCGATGAAGAACCTGAAACTATAATTGATAGTTTATCTGGACACTATTAAAAATGTTAATAGCTACCATTTATGATTGTTAATATAAAAAAATTCTTATTTTGTAATTTTTTTAAATATAATTATATTCTACTTGATTTAATTAAAATATTGATCAAAGTAAATGAAAATTAATAAATTTATAACACATTTCATACTAAAAAGAAAAACTGGATTAAGCTAATTCTGATGGTTGTACATCTTTTGAATCAGAGTTGCCAATAGTTGTCCTTTGTAATAAATTTCTACAGAACCAAGACGGTTTTTCTCTTTTGAGTTCAATGATTCTTTTTCCCTACAATAAAATAATATGTTAATTATTTAACAATATTGTATAGTCAAATAGTCTTACTTTCCAAAGTTCTTCTACTGGTTGTTTGGGTTTCTCTCCTTTATAAAGAACTACTACTTCCTGTTCAATGGGTTCCAAGCCTAATTCTTTTTCAATGACTTCTTGAAACTCTGTAGTTTCATCCTTAACTCTTTTGTAACAATTGGCTAAAATGTAAAATATACGTTATATTATGGACATAAAAAATAATTTTGAACTTATCACTCACCACACAAATGGCGTCTTTGATAACTATGACCACATTGGTTACAAGTAAGTAAATCTGTACGAGGTAAAAGCATTTTGTAAAAATCATTAATACAACCAAATTTTCGTTTTAGTCTTTTCTCAATTGTACGCCTGTGTTTGGGAACAGCCCATAAAATAGAATCGCCAAATAGTCGTTGAATATTTGTCAGAGCTGGGGTAGATGGTTTGAGCGTTTCCACGGGATTTACTAAAGAAAGAGCTGAAAATAATAGAATAAAATATTATCAATATGCATAACAGACTTGTTTTCAATCAGTAATAACTGTTATAGAAGGAGGTTAAAAGAAAAAATTTAGTTACCTGGTGGAGGCGGATGTCCGAGGATCATGTGGCAAAAGGAGTCGAAATCTGTGTACAGCCGATTTTTAATTCTTCTTAGCGCCAAGAGCCCTTTCATTTTTTATTTTCTTATTAGTGCTGGCTAAACGAAGTCAAAAGTTCGGGTATTTAGATAAATGAGTACGGAATGCAAAATAAACGAGTTGAGTTTTCAGAGAATAGTGTGCAAGATGATTACCAAGATTGAAACTATTATCACAATGCGATCAAGTGTTGATTTCGATTATCAGTAATTCTTATCACTAATTAGCGGCGTTCATCGGCGGCTCTTTTCATATTAATTATTACGAAAATATTAAAAATGAACGTTGTGAAATGTGAAAAAAAAAATTGTAGAGAACCATGAGATATTTTTTATTGTTCACGACTATAATATTAGTGATAAATTTTACAATCGTGATCACTGATCAGCTTTCTAATGTTTTAGCTGTCACACTAATGTTTTGTAGTTCAATTGTGAAGAAAAAGATAGCTCTATAAGTTTGAAGCTTCAAAATATTAAAATACAATTTGTATATAAACATATTGCAATTATTGTATGCATAGACTATAGATTCCTAAGTTTATAAAGGTTTATTGATTTTATTATGGCGTTTATGATAATATGTTAACAAGTTCCTAATATAAAAGTTATTGTACAGTGTAGACGTGTAGTCATAGACCTTATACTAGACTACTAGAGTATAAGGTCTATGCGTGTAGTGTAATTATAAAATAGCGAATCATAAATTAGTATTCAAAAGAAAAATGTAATAAATAATAATATATACAATGCAACTTAGATATATTATGTATAATAAATAATAATATATCACATTTTAATTTTTAATCTATGAGCGAACTGGCTACTAGCGCCCAGCTTTTATCAACGATTTCTAATTTCTATTGAAGAATTCATATTTCTCATCTATTGGTTCTTCAATATCTTTGAATTATCTCAGAATTAAAATTATTTTGGGACAGAAAAAGACAAATTCTATTATTATTGTTTTTTTTTTTTTTCATATTATTTTCACAGAATAAATTAATGATCATGTAACATGTTCATGGCCGTGACTCGTGATAATAGTTCTGTGGACTGTGTTAAGAATTATGAGTGACTATGACTCATTGGTTTTTATCTTTGTCCACAGTGATAGTACTTCTGGCCCGTAGCCCTACTCCGAGTTTCAACAATATTAATAAATTTATTATTATTGTTGTGAGTAATATTATGAATAGTAAGAAATTTGTCATAAATCGGAATTTTGAATTTTCTTGAACCATCTTTTAATTCTTCATTATTGTTTCGTACATTTTTATTTTTTGTTAAAAATTATTATTATTTGGCATTGACGATTGTTGACGATGTTTTCTTCAGACGCCAATTATTCGAAACTCAAGACTAACTTGAGATTGGCGTTAAATCGTCTCAAATTATTGGAAAAAAAGAAAACTGAACTAGCCCAAAAAGCGCGTAAAGAAATTGCCGACATGGTTGCAGCAGGGAAAAGTGAACGTGCCAAAATTAGAGTCGAACATATCATACGCGAAGACTACTTTGTTGAAGCACTTGAAATTGTTGAGATGTTTTGCGATGCTCTGTTATCCAGATTTGGTCTCTTACAACAATCAAAGTAAATTACTTTATCTAAATAAGGTATATTTTTCTGTTTGGGAACTTAATGTATATTGTATATAGACTATAATGAAACCATTTTATGAAATTTTAACAGTAAGAGCTTTTAGTATACAATTAGTTTATTATTATTTATCATTTATATATATATATATATATATATATATATATACAAGTTCTAATATTATTAGAGTAGCTTTTAAACTGCAGTGACCAAATACTTTCACTGCATTCATATATAAAATTGAGTCTTGTCAGTACTTATGATAGTGTTTATATGACATTATAAATTATTTTGTATAAAATATACCTATATCTAGATAGTTTTTTTTATAATTATTTTTATTTTTATGTTTTCAGAATTTTAGATTCTTCTCTTGCAGAATCAGTTTCTAGCTTATTATGGGTGGCTCCTCATATTCAAGCTGATGTCAGTGAAATGAAAGTGATATCTGACCAATTAACTCAAAAATTTGGTAAAAAATATACTGAGGTAATTATAATATATATTAATCATAATTGTATTAGGTATTTAATTAAATGCATGCTGTGTAGATCACCTTTAAATTAGTATTTATTTCAATAGTGGCTAGAACTTATAATTTTTTGTTAATAAAATTCTGACATGAGAGCAGGGCTCTCCTACTAAGATAAATCTAGAATAATTATTTACAATTTTTTCAATATTTATTCTATAGTATGAATTTTTATAATTACAGTGTTAAATTGATTATCCTCTTAGATATTGTTAAATTATTTATAGTAGGTTATATACCATAAAAACATAATTAATGAATAAATAAAAATAATAAAATGTCAATATTATAAATATCCATATGTGTATTAGGTGAATTAGCTTATACTAAACTGATTTTACAATATTCTTATTTTTCAATGTTTACATTTTATTATGATAACATTAAAAAAAAAAATTTTTATTATAATGCTTAAGAGTGTTTTAAGTTTTAATTTACATCAGCTAGGTAAACCCAAGTCTCATCCTATTTTTGTCTTTGTAGATAATGCTTATTGCACTCTGCTTGATATTATACAATTCTTATTGAGGTTAAATTATTGATGGGAGAATAATTTAAAACATATTACATATTATATTCTAAAAATATTTTCTTGATTTTAATTTTACATATTGTATCATATAGCATATTATTATAAGTTAATATTAGTTATGTTTATTTTTTAATGATAAATAATGATTAAATGTCTTATCATGTTTATTTTTTTTTATTCAAATGAAATAAACATTTTTTAATTGATTAGAAATTAACATCTAGTGTTGTTTTATAAAAATGTATTCTTATAAATATATTATTTACAATGAACTATTATTTTTCATTTTATGCCTGCATGCATCTTTTCTATCATAAATTATTAAAGTTAAATTTTCTTAAATTTTTTTTATTATTGTTTTTTTTTTTAAATATTAATTAAAAATGACTATTATTATTTAATACATATTTAGAGTTAAATTATACTTTTTACTCTATTTTATTTCTAATTAAATATCAGTGAGTTGTTAATAACTAGTTTTTATTATATTATGAAATCTGTTTGTAATAATAATAATAATTAATAATCTTGATTTATTTATTGTTTTTATTCTATATTTTAGGCATGCAGATCAGAAAACATGGACACTGTATCTGAAAAACTGAAGCATAAGTTGAGTTTAAGACCACCACCAAAGATACTAGTGGAGAAGTATTTAATTGAAATTTCCAAAAATTATAATGTACCTTATGAACCTGATTTACAAGTAAGATCAAGTACTGATACTATGATTATTACTACATGATCTGATATCCTATAACATTATAAAAATATACTATAACATAAACAACATATTCCAGTTTATAACAAAATGGAAAAGGGTATAACAATATTGAACATAATTACGAAGTAAATTTGATATAACTTGTTATGGTTATTGTATGTAGACTGATACCAATTTAGGTTGTAATTATAGTTTTATATAATATAACTCTTTATACAGGGATAACACGACATGTTAGTTACAAGCTATTACACAGTTAACTAGATAGACGTAGCTGTACATGTAACTATCTAAAGGATTTGGGTGTGGGGGATACATATCATCTGATCTGGGCATCTTAAAATAATATAATGCGCATGAATCCGAGGACGCGTGGATTAAAAGAATTAGACTGTACACATTTCTTGATGAGAAGAGATATGACCAAGAAAAATAGGAAAAGACTTATATAGAAGAGCCTGAGATAGGACTTTTTCAAACATGATTTATAAGAGTTAGAGCGAGCACTTTCTTGTCAGTCTATGTTAGAATTTGGTCATAATATGAACTTGGAAAAATTTTCTATTTAAAAAAACACTTCGAAAAATTGTATAACTTATTTATTTCTCTGTGTCTATTACACAGCTCCTTGTACAGTTGCTTTTACATGACCTGCTATATCATTGATAAATGTTTATTTTGCATTTATAAGTAGTGATAATTATGTGTTTAAGATTTAAAATAGGTTTTTTTTTACTAATTTTCTTTCATGTGCCCATAAATATATCTACTATTTATTTTTGATTTATTTGAATGTTTAAACATTTGATTTTAGGTCATGCAAGAATATGAACAATCTCATAGTGTAGATTCTATACTTTTTGATGGTAAAAATGTAATTAATGAAAATGCCACACGGCCTACAGGGTTTATTGGTTTTCCATCACAACCCATGGCTCCAACTCAGGCTCCACCTATTAGTTATCCAGTAAGTATTATAATTTGTAAATATTATTTTATATTTGACTTAATTTTAAAATGAATTTTAGAATATGCAAACTATGAGTTCAATGTTAGATTCAGTTCCATTGGATTTTGAGATACCATCTTCATTACCTACAGTACCTACTGTAATTGCACCTACTATACCTGCTATACCTACGCCCAAAGTGCAGCCGATTCCAAAACCACCAGCAGCTAATATAGTTAAACCTGTTCCGAAAAACCCAATTTTTCCCAATAAGAACTTGGGTTTTTCAAACTTACCTGACCTCCCTAGTGTACCTACAGATATACCTGTCGGTGATGTTAAAGATAAAGATGATGATGAAGAAACTGATTTTGATGAATTATTAAATCGATTTGAGGATTTAAAAAAGAACAAAAAATAAGTATTTTATATTTTTATTATATTTCATTTATTATTATTAATATGTTATTATTGTTATTCTTAAGTTGTCAAAATTAAGATTAAAAATATATTTTTACTAATAATTTTGGTTATGTCTTACCTTAGTATAGAACACAAAACTTATGATTTGTTTAATGTACTATCCAAGTAAGCCGTTTAATAAATGAGCTGGCTTTTGCGTAATAGTATTAGGGGTCTTTGTAGTAGCATCTGGTTTTTTTCCTCCTAATGTATTTACTAATACATTATTTTTCAGTAATCCATCAATTGTGTTGTATGATAGTAAATTAACTGTTCCTTCTGTTACATCGCCTAATACACCATTTTGTAATAAATCTGGTACTGTTTTTAATATATCAGATATTCCCGGCAAGTTGCAGTATGTTGATTGTAATATGTCTGGGACGCCACCCCACAATCCCATTTCACAAAAACGGAACTTATTTTCAATACGTGAATTCTCATCGAGTACAACATAATCTGATTGTTTTGAAGAAGTGAATGAAGGCCATTCATCACCTAATTTTTTCAATTTTGGTTTTCTGAAATTTTTATTTATTAATATTTTATGTAATGTGTAATTAATTTGATTAAAGTGTTAAATTTAATATTTACCCATTTTTTACAAATTCTGCTACTAATGATGTGAAATTATCTCTCATTTCAATATCTTTTTTATCTTTAAGTTCAGTTCCTGAAATCTGTTTACCTTCAATGGACCTCACATCATACAAATATATTAATTCATCTCCGTGGCCTGGATCTCCTATTTATTCAACCATGCACAATTAAAAAATACAATTATATTTTTTAATTAATTCTTTTCAATAAATTATACCATTATCTTCAACATTATGAGAATTAGTTCCGTCATTTTTGGAGTTTTCTTTATTGGGATTTCCCAATATGTTTGGCAAGAACCATTTTCCTGGAGATTTAATACTTGGTTTGTGTTCAAAACTATAGAAGTATGCATTGCTGCGTTTTGACCATAAATGTGATGTAAAAAAAGCTGGTAAGTTGAATAATGCATCCGTTGTTCCCTTAAAAGTTGAGTATATAATATTTTATTAATTTTATATTATTTTTACTTACTTGCATAACTTTAGTGATTTCTTTGGCCCCAGATTCAAGTCTTGATAATAATTTTAAGTAATCAATGTTCTCAAATAAGTTCTTTAGTGCATTATTTACACTTCCATTTTTGAATAAACCTGTAATTTAACAAATTATCAAGAATTTTAAATAAATTCTAAATAAAATGAAAATCTATTATAACAAGTAAATAAACATATTTTTTTAATTTTGTGTGATGAATACAATTTATTTTTCACTTAATTTTTAATATATCAAAACTTTTTTTTATATGTGTACAATATACATTTTTTTGACTGAGTTCCAAAATAAAATGCAAAGTTTTTGTTAATAAATTTAATAGTAATGGTAAATTAAAATTTTTAATATCTTATGATTAGTAATCATTGATAACAATAATATAGATATAGTATTTGTTAATTCTTACAATATATACCTATTAAAAATTATTTTATTTTATCTAATAAACTTTTTTCATATTTTTCATAATATAATTAAATCATTTTAATAGACAAATATTTTATTTGTTTACCTGTATTAGTGGTCAGAACTTTCTGTGGCAGTACTTTATTAACATAGTCTGGTATTTTGTTTAAATTGTCTAATACTTGATTTCTGAACTTTCCTAAAAATAAACTTAATGAAGTATTGATTTTTTAACGTAAAGTATTAAAATGTATTTAGTAATTACACAAATATGTCTTTCATAAAACAAATTAAATAGGTATCATAATTTGTATATTATTATATTTTTACTTACCTAATATTCCTGATTTAGTTTCTAACTTATTAACACCAGTAAGCATTGGTATTACGGGTAATTTGTGTTTTTTTAATAATCGTAATGGTGTATCTAGAATAAAAAATGGTAAGAATCTGCCATCGTTGTTACCTTCTACAGCTGGACCAACATTAAATAAGCTACCCAATCCAGTTAGGTATCCTTCTTTTCCTAATTTTGTAATCTAAGTAGTAGATAATAAGTAAATTTAAACAATTAAAATTAGAAAAAGAATTCACTAACCTGATATTTATAATCAGAGTTAATAATTGTTTGAATTGATAACATTTGTAAACATCTAATTGTTTCTAATGAAGCAGATTGATCACATCCCAGTAATGCAGTCATATTTTGATATGTTTGTTTTGGTATAGGATCTACTGCAAACGCTGACAGTGGGCTACCACTTAATGCAAAAATTCCACTTATCATTCCTGTTGAATGTATTTTTTTTTAATTAATTAATTTACTAATATTTCAATTTACAATTATTTAAATTTATACCTTTAGTAAACTCTGACATTGTCAGTAATGTTGCAGCACTAGCTCCACTACCTTGACCAGATAAAACTATTCGTTCTGGATCTCCATTAAAATAACTAATATATTCTTTAACCCATTTAACAGCAGCACGCATGTCGAACAATCCGACATTGCCAGGAAGATTTTTTAAATTACTTGTTAGCCAACCTAAATTATATTGTAAAACAATTATAAATTTTTTTAATATATTTAAATTGTTGTATATTAATAATTATAATATTTACCTAATGATCCAAGTCTATATTGTATTGTAACTACAGTTATGTTATTTTTCACTAAATGGGCAGGTCCATATTGTAGAGCTGAACCACTAAAGAAACCACCTCCATGTATCCAAATCAATACTGGATAATTTGTATTATTAGGTTTCTTCTGTAAGAAAATAATAAACCAAATGGAATTGTACAAATTAACAATTACACCTTTCAATAGTACTTACCAATGGAGTAAACACATTGAGAAATAAACAATCTTCACTTCCAACCAGTACATTGCCATCAGAACTCAACTGTGGGCAAGGAGGTCCAAATTTTGTAGCATCGATTTCTCCAGAAAGACGAACAAGTGACGGACGCTAAAAATAGGAAAATACTTAATAGATTTAAGATTATGGAAATGATGGTGTGCTTCACTTGTTCTCTTCATTTATTACTAGAAATATAACACATCTACTAAAGGAAAACCGCTCTAGGTACTTGATATTTTATATTTTATGATTAAATAATAAAGAATTTAAATGGATAGGGTGAGCATAGTTTAGAAAGAACCAAATTATTGAAGGGGGAAATTATCTTGCTGTTTTATGCAGCATATTAGTATATTAGAGATTAGAGTAAGAGTAAGTAAATACCTATCAACATTTAATGAATACAATTGAAAATAAAATTACTAAGAACATAATAGTATACAATACACTTGGGCCTTTATAGGCTCAAATGCAGTTGGCACAGATAATATTTTGTTCAGGGTTCCTGAATAGGTACCTAATTTACTTATTATTCTCAAATGTATTCATAATTTTACTGTTAAAATTCAATGTGAAATGAAAAACTCATTTAAAATTTATGTGGTTATTTAGTAGGTACCTATATAATATACATAAATAGGTACCTACCTACTTAATTAACAATAAGGCAAAGGCATTTTAATTTATAATATCATCTATGAGTTTCTAGAGAATTTGTATTAAGTAATATAGATATCTGCAATTTACCTGTGGACATTGACATAAATATAAGAATTTTTACCAAGTGCAAAAAATCAAAAGAACCTCTTTTAAAAAAATAGAGTAAAATAGGTACTCAGTATTCTGAAAGAGCCTATTTTTTAATCCAACTTTAAAGGCCTTCTGGTTTTTAAACATTAGAATCCCAATGCAGCCGCAATTAATAAGTATATTTTCCTATTTACGCTACTGCCTATGCATGCGATATAATGGTAGGTAATAAATGCAACTACAGGCAGATTTAAATGTGGTTTTTAGATTTTTTATTCTCATACAGTTATCAAATAGCTCATGTTAGGTTATTAACTTTCAGTTTGATTTTTTTTTTGTCTTGATATGATTTAACACTCGGATAAATTGCGAAATAGTTAAAAAATACACTAATTAATCAACTAAATGAAATGAATCGTGAACTAAAAACTAAGGATAGCGGGAGTTAATTTATAAATTTGGGAGGGGTGGCTATAATACGCCTTTTGCCGGTAAAGTCCACAAGTTCACACACACACACACACACATAAATGTTTATATATAAGTGTCTACAAGAGATCTGCTAAGAAACATTTTCTTCAAATATTTTGATATAGATTTTGTTCTAAAGTATTCTGTTTATACGCGCAGCAGACAAGCTCGACCGTATCCGCCTTACCTGAAATCTGAGTCTCCCCACCGGCGGTTCGGCGTACCTGATTCCTTTGTACGCGTAATAGCCTTCGGGTTCCATAACGCCAGTGACCGTGGCGGTCCTGTAGTCGTCTTCCACGTGGACCACGTTATTGTTGGACTTAGCGGGGGACGGTTGGCTGACGTTGAACCCGTCAGATTCAGGGATCAGTGACGGATATCCGCCAACGATTCTCTTTTGCCGCGACAGGGCGTCGCAAAACGTCAGTAAGACGACGAACGCCAAACCGGTCCCGTACAGCATCGCAACTGCTTGGTCGGACACTATCTTATACGTATTACCTTATTACCTATGTTATTAAATTACGCGACGTTAGCTTCTAAGTACGAGGATGAGAGTGTACCTATTATTGCTGAACCGCGTCGACTGCTGGCCCAGTTGAATTCGTTTGGTATTGGCTAAATGGCAAATTGTTCAGCGATGACGCCGAGATAGGTACCTACCTACCTATACAGGTGCCCATACCTATACAGCACTGCTATTAGCCGCGATATGTACTTACAATGGTAGTTGATATTATAATGACTATGTGTAATGTGTATTCATATTTTATTATCTAATAAATATACGTTTTCGTCAAACCTGTTTACCTCACCTTGGTCAAGGTTATACAAGAATTTAATTTAGATACGTCCTACCTACGTACTGGTGAATATAATAGGAGGTCGTCCGTCGCCCGTGCTGCCGATGATATACATTTGCACATCTCGTTTGTTAATCAATAACGACTTAATGCTAAACAGTAAACACCGTAATTTTTTTTTTAACGAGTGCGATTTCGATTTCTGTCATGAGATTGATATCCCCACCGCCTTGGTGCTTAAATATCACGCACAAGAACTTATAATATAATATTATATTTTGTGCATAATTATGTGTATAATTATTAACTACAATATTACCTTAACCACATCGTATTAGCTAGGTATAGATATTAATTATGTATCCGTATTAAATTCAAGACAGCGTTGTCCGAAATTTACTCCGAAGTCCGAGTGAAGCAATCGCCGCTACCTTTGTATATTTAATTTGATTTGAACGACATGATGCGACAACACGGTACAATGAAAGCAGTGATGTATTGAGGATTTTATAATGTACCTAGGTATAGATGGAGATAACGAAAATCTTACCAAAGCCCGAAGAAGGTTCTTATAAAAGAAATAAAACAATAATTATTATCTCTATTTTAACTTTTTGACTATAATATTTTATTCTGCTTAATTAAATAAAATGTTTTTGTAATCATATGAATATTATTACAAATAAAAAAAAAGGTGAAAGCAAGTAACCGTTGTCCAGTACAGTATATGTCGAATAAACATCGTTAATGAGAAGTAATTCAAGTAAGTTGTTGTAAATATTCTGTCAGCCGATATAACTAATTATATTTTATGAAAATATAATAATATAATATGTTTATATTGCTATTAAAATAATTTTTTTTTTTCAATTGGTAAAATACAGTAGATTGAATTAATTTTTAACGAAACAATGAATATGAAAATGTATTGCTTGTATAAAATATATAATAATATACGTTAAAAGTTTTAAGTACCCACGAATAGTATTTTCAAGTCACAAAAAATAACTAAAATCGTTAGATATTCTTCGTTTAAATATAATAATGTATCGTCCAAATTTTAACTTACAATGTCTATACAATAAACTGTGTTAATACATTTTTAAGATTTTTCGGTTAACGTAAAAACTGCCAATTTAAAGGAAACCTTGTCTTCAATTTTCAAACCTCAGCTATAAAAATTATTTTATAAATTTAGTTATATACTTGATACGTTAAGTTGTAACCTAGAAATTGAAACATTACCTCAATGTTCGTCACTAACGAGTAACGACGCGATGCAAACATTCAATATGAAGGTCCTATATACAATAATACGTTTAATACCATCGCTCTGATCTTAATTATTTTGTCATATCTATCATACTTATTTATATTATAAAATATAACAATATATATTTTATAAAATTGGTCAGATGGCGCATAAAGTGACTACTGTATTATACAACATGTAAATTAGTCAATTTACGAATGTAGGTATCTTGATAAACAGACAATGACAATTTTAGAGATGTATTCATATTATAATTTTTGAGAAATTTGTGAATTGCCTATATTACTATATGCGTCTTAGGTACCTTGATACACCGTTCATGGTAGGTAGGTACGTAATAGAAAAATGAAGATTAGAATTTAGAAATTGTATATTTTATATAAAAAAAAAAAGAAATTTACCATTATGCATTGTTTCCAAAAAATTATTGTTTTCTACCTCGATTTAAAATTAAATAATTTATACGAGTATTATCATTGTATGAAATTACGTGTGAAATACACTAATATTGTAATAAATAGTTTTACATTTTTAATTATTCGGTTATTGTTTATTGGTTGACATAAACTGTACAGTGATACTATTATTGGTCATTAGTCATTACTCATCGACAACTGAAATATTATATAGAACAGTATAACATAAAGTAACTATCGGTTAAGAATTCGACTTCAGGGCCAACTTTTGTATAAGCAGTTCACGTATACAAATACAATAGCCTGCGATCATTAAATTTTACATTGTGTATAGGTATGTGATATTCTGATCATAATACGACCTCTATAAAGATGATAGGTATTTTAATTTTTTTTTTTATATAGATAAATTATATATATTGACCATTATAAAAACATATTTTTATATGACGGGTAAAGCAAAATACTTATTTTTACAATATCAAATAAAAAAAAAAAAAATAATATTGTTTAACAATAAGTTTAGTTGACCTTATATAGTGAATTAGTCAAGACTCGAGAGTGGATAAATTATTGCTATAAAAAATAAATGTATTCATGTATACTTTTTCTATATAATAAGTATATTGAACAATTATTTTAAAATATTTGAGATTACATTTTTAATAACATTGAAGTAAACATATGATTCGAATTTTGAATAGGTACCTACTCAAATACTGATTGTTGTTAAACTTGATATGAAACAATTTTATATTTCCGTCTTTTAAGTTTCATAAAAAATCACTAAAAGTTCAATGAATCAATGATCCCTTATATATGATTTAGTGGCTTGCGATTGGTTCATTAAATTTTACCTAACGTCTAAATTAATCAATTTTTCATGCAACCCAACATAAGAATATTAAATTTGATATGGTTATATAAAACTTTTTTTTTTTAACGAAAATATATCTATTTTCAGTACTTAATAATGAGAAAATGATGAAGTCTCCTTTCTTTTTTTTATTGTACTCCTTCTATTTTTTTTTAAACGGAATACTGGGAACACAATATTTACTAGTGCATTTTAAATCGTCAGTTTCTTGATGCAAAATATAATAGTAATAATACTTATATCTTACTAATAATAATATTAATTTATAATTAATAATTAAGTAGGTATTTTTTCTTTTTATATATAGTTGTAGAATAGATTTAACAACGGTGATATAGGGGGGGGGGACCTTTCACGGTAATATGACAGTTAATCTTGTGTGGAACGCTCTTTTATGCAATATCCGCTGAGTCTCCCTTTTAATTTTTTTCCAAATCAAACATTTCATATTTTTGTTAATTGTTTTAGTAAAGCATCTAAAAACATCATTTCAATTTGTTTTGAACTATAAAGTAAAAGATTACTTGTGATGGATCACCCTCGCTTTTTTCAAAAGCTGACTTAGTTTTTCATTAAATTGTATTTTGAAGCGTAAACATTTAAGTATAGTTGAACAGTGATTAACGATAGTACAGAACTACAAGATAAAAATACAAAAAGTTAATTTAAATGTAAGAATACTATCTAGTCATCTAGGGCATTTCGTAGGTTGAGTGTATTGATATTTTAATTTCAGTGAGTAATAGTTATGTAAATTATTACAATTTTGAAATGCTTATGCCTCATTTTAAAATTTAAAACATCAATAAAAGTCTACGACTAGCTCTAGCTTATTTTCTTACCTACCTTTAAATTTTACAATAAGTCAATAAATTCATATTTGTGTTAAAATTAATAACACGCAGTTTGTTATGTTGTATTCGTTTGTAAGACACCGTGATTTAACGTTTCTTTAACTGTTTGAAATTTATAAAACGAGTATATGTATATAGGTATCCACACAGCTACGCCTATCATTCAGTATTTCATCATTGTCCCTGCACGGTGCTTAACGTGCATAACATTATTCACTTATAACAATATTCAGGTAATACTACTGAAATAAACACACGTTTTTGTTGTTAAATCACACTATTAATTGTTCTTCTATTCATGAGCACCACGTTTGCGTATATAATATATTATTATTGTCTACATAGTAATACAGTATATGACTTTAAAAAAAACCGACTAAACGTTTGTATTTATCTACAACGTGCCCAGCTGTGTACAGTTCCAAGTTCTTACCGTAGAATAATAATGCGATCGTATTATATACCTTTGATAAAAAAAAAAAAAAAAAAACTTTATTTCATTATATTCATCATAATCGCACTAATCATAGAATCAAAAATAAGTTTGTAAACAGATAATATGAGTATAATATAATGGATATACTTGCTATAAACACATTATTAGTTTTTAGACACTCTGTATATACATACTAAACGCAATAATATATTATACGAACGTAAATTGATAAAATAATAGCCTTGTATACAGAGCGTTTCACCATTCTTGTAATATTCGTAAAGTCGTACACGGTTCGCCTATACTATAATTATTATATTCCATCTACTAGTCTACTCGCGGTTCGCTATTCTTCCGGAAATTTCAAAACTTTCCCAACCGTAATAAAATATGATTGTTTAATAGAAACTATATTTCATAGTAATTTAATTTTTAATACGCTTTAGCGAGTATTTCAAATATTTCTAAATCGCAAAAACAAATTAGGGTATATTTTTTTGTTCTGCAGTAATGTAGGTACAACTCAAAAAATAGCACGAATTCAATATCTTAAATATTGACGGTGTGTATTGGTAAAAGAGAAAAAAGTCGAAGTCGCTATTTTTTAGAAAGCGAAAGTACTTCTGATTTATGTACACGGACTGCTCAGTAGTTTTTTTTTTAGTTTTTCGTATACAATTGTCATTATAATGGGGGAAAAAAAAAAATTCTAAAAATCAAACATTTTTATGACGGAAACTACCGTGGAAAATTACAAGTTACACTATCGCGTAATAACCGAAATACGGCCCCAAATCGAACGATGTTTCCTTTTACTGGCGCACCGCGCACCACCTAGATTAAAATATATTTTCAAAAATACGGGTTGTTGCCCGGGGAGTTGAGTGGACGTAACATTTGAAAGTACAAGTTACAATTGTTTTACAGTATCATTATTCAATACTGTTAGGATAATAATAATATATAAATATATACATATAATATATTTTATAAGTGTAATAAATCAATATACATAATCCTGCAAAAGGACGAATCCTCGTCGACTATCCGCACAAGCCCGACGAGGGGTTGGTGTGCACGTATATCACGCGTATTATTTTCACAGTGTAACGTGTGTGTCAGTATCGTACGCGGTCGTGTGTCGCATCGATGGACGGTTTTCCGAAAACATCGAACACCGCACCGGGAAAACGTCGACGACGACCGCGGGGACATTTGCACCCGGAATGACATGCGACACATGCTGTATGCAATTACACAGGCGCAGATGCACCGCAAGCACGCGCTCGTCGTCGTCTCTTGTCGCACGTTTGTATACAAATATTGTAAATGGTGTACCTCGTGCACGCAACAGCGCAACCGGTCGCCGTGGCGGGAGCGACCGTTCACTTTCCATTTCGAGCGACGGACTGCTGCAGGTAGAGGTAGGTATATACCTAGTCTGCGGCGGTGGCGGCGGGACCCACGCCCATCCGAATAATAATAATAATACTATCGTTATGTGTACATACTGTGTATATATATTTCGTCGTTAACGATTTCTCTCGTCGCGACGGCTGTGCTCGCGTGTACGCGGACGACGGTTCAGTACGATTTCAGCAGCGCGCCGAACATGATGCGCACCGACTCAGCCGCGCCGTCGCGATTATCGTCCCACATCGGACTGGTGGCCCGCAGCCCCGAGGGCCATGCCGCCAAGACGATGCAGATCAAGGGTCACGAGGACCAGTGGGTGGACATACAGGCGCACACGTTCAGGAACTGGGTGAACGAGCACGTGCCGGCTGCCGACCGGGTGTCGAACCTCGCGGAAGACCTGCGCGACGGCCGGGTCCTCTGCGAGCTGGTCGAGAGCCTGCAGAAGCGCAAGGCGTTTGCGTGGAACCACAACCCCGGCAACCGGCACCAGATGTTGGAGAACGTGTCCAAGGCCCTGACGGCGATCGCGGACGACGGCGTCAAGCTGGTCAACATAGGTACGCGTTTGACGATTTCGTTTATCAGTACGACGTGCGCGCGATGGCTGTTATATGGTTATGCCCGTAATATTGTTGTCGGGGGCCTTTGAAATCGGTTTTTAGGACCAGCTTTTTGTCGGATCGCTTGCGGCCGTGCAGGTGGCCGGAAAAACCACGCGATTATTATACTTTTTCACTCGCGGGTCTGCGTGTGTATGTATGTTAGATTTTAGTCATCGCGGCGTGTATTGTGTATACTTTCGATCATATATAGGTGTGCGCTACAGGTGGTGCATTCCATTCTCGATCTAGAACCTAAAACCCCCATCAGACGACCCGCTTAAAATCGGTAATTTTTGGTTTTAGGAGACCTCGAAAAAAATAATATTAATAACGCCTGCTCTTAACATATATTTTTATTTATAGAACATTTTTTTAAATCATAATTTATTTTTATTTTTTTTTTTGTCGGGAGGAAATGATTAATTGTAAATTATTTTAAATCGTATATTAACTCGTTCTGAAACTTATTTATCTGCGTAAAAAGGCGTAGGCCGCAGGTGGTGTATTTGCATACCGCGCACTGCGTTCATCGTGTGTTACACACTTACGCCTATACATGCCTTCGATTGGACTTTAATGTACTATTAAGTATGGTAGTTCGAGTACAAACATCCTGGGTTAACATTGTCAATTGCACTTTGCAGGTTATTTTCGTGTTAGATAATGATTTTTTTGTTTTTGACGTCGAACAGGTGTTGGGTAGTATCGCCAAATAGGGAGTGTTATACAAAACACTGAGCGAAGTATGCAATAGTTAATCATGTGGGTGTATTGACCTCACATACTATAATACTAGAACCATAATGCTTCTATAATAATATGATTGAATAATTTTTCACATATGAAATATGAATGATATTACAATATTGGTCGCAGTTTTAGGTATACGGTATACCTACTATATAGGCGGAGCTATCTCCATTATTTTTATTTACAAGCACGCATTTTTATATCAACTAAAAGGATAATACAGAGGCACCTTGAAATATAGTATATTTTAAACATCGGATTATTTAGGTTTTGAGTACCTCATATTTAAATTCATAAACTATAGTCGTGTCATTGTTTGAAGTAAAGAAAAAAAAATGTAGAGATTTACTATATTTTCAATTTAGGTGGTACAAGTTATTTTTCTTGTTCCATGGTGTAATAGTTTTTTTTATTTTTTAGGAAACGAAGACATAGTTAATGGGAATCTGAAATTAATTTTAGGACTAATTTGGTCACTGATTGTTCGTTATCAAATTGGGCGATCGAAATGTCCACCTAAAAAGCTCATGTTGGCTTGGCTCAAGGTATATTAGCGTATAACTAAACCTACGAATGTTTTATTTAAAATACATTAATATTATCTTTGAAAATTGTAAAATTATAATAATTTATTTGTTGGTTTTATATGGATAGTCTGTACTACCGGAATGTCGCGTAAACAATTTCACCACAGATTGGAATTCCGGAATATGTCTTTCGTCCTTGTTGGATTACTGTGAACCGGGATTGTTTCCACATTGGAAAAATTTAGATCCCAATGATAGCGTGAACAACTGCCGCCGTGCTATGGAATTGGCCCGAGATCGTTTCAGCATCCCTATGGTGCTGGAGCCTGAATATTTAGCTTCACCTTATCTAGACGAACTATCGGGCATGACGTATTTGTCCTATTTTATGAAAGAAAAGAGTCCTGGTACTAAAGCCACATTAAACTGGGTGAATAGTCAACTAAAATCTCATACGGTGTCTAATTTCACGGTAAGTGTTTTCCGTTCTTGCGAAAACAAACATGCAAACTCATCGGTTTTTATACTTTTAGACCGATTGGAAAGACGGTATTGTATTGTGTGAATTAACAAAATCTCTTGGTGTTCCGGCCAAGTATCAAAAATATGACGACCCGGAGGTCTGGGAGTCCAACTTAAACGCTGGTATGTATTGCTGTATATAAAAGTTTAATCCGTGAAACATTTATTTGTATCCTGTTTACTGAAATAAGTATTATCGTACATAGGAATGAATGCTGGAAAAAAGTTAGGTGTCGAACCTCTGTTGAAAGCCAAAGATGTGTCTAGTCTGAATGCTTCACATTTAGGCATGATGTCTTATGTGTCTAATTTCCAATGGGTAAAACCGCGAACTCGGCCATCGCATACCGTGCGCGCCCATAGTGACACCCACACCACCAGAGTCTATAAACCAGTAGGTTAATTAAATAAAAATAATATTAACTTGTTAAACACAAATAAGTGTTAATCAGAATTAACGTAATAATAAATCCACGACATTTTTTTTAGACTAGTTTCAAAGTGACATTTTTGGATGCAGAAGTAGATCCAAGCGATGTCACGGTGGAAATAATTGGACCGGAACTCAATACCATACCGTGTAATTTGAATTTAAAATCCAATGGTGGCACATGCACGTTCGTGCCACTCATAATTGGAATGTATAAGGTATGCATTTGTTTTCCCCCAGCTGCATGTATATATTATACATGTACGTAGTCGACACGGTTCGTGGTTTTAATTTTTAATGTTTGTGTTTATCGCACAGGTTACGATTTTCAATGGCGACGATGTGATCCAAGGGTGCCCAATGTTTATACGAGCTATGCCTGAAGTGTCCGAAATTAAACACTCAGGTATGGAACCATGCGCAGTTGGATCTATCGTCGAAGTTCAGGTGAGTTTCTAGTGCACGACAACGAAAACGCAAAGTACCTACCTAAAGTTTAACGTACTTATTCGTTTGGTATTTGGTTTTTGTTTCCAGATAAATTGTAACGGTGCTAAAGCTCAAAATATTCAAGTTTTGGCCATGAGTCCGGACGGTCGAGAATTAGAATGTCCGGTAAGTGAATCAGGAGATGCGTACCGGACGACGTTCCAACCCGACGAACCGGGAGAATGGACCATAGCCGTGAAACACCGTGGACAGTTAATCCAGGGTAGTCCATATACGTGTTTTGTGTTCGATCCGAACGGCATTAAGGTAAAAAAAATCAAAAATCAAAGAGATGTCGAAAGACCGTGAACTAAATAATTGGTTTTCACTGTCTTATTGTTTAGTTGCTTGGCTTAGATAGACCAGCTATTGCGGGAAGTATAGTCAATTGGACTTTGGACGCCAGAGGAACGGGAGGTCTGGGAAAAATAGAAATTGATATTGTTCACGATAAACAGTCACTTCCGCATACGATTGACCATTTAGGAAATTCTATTTACAACGTCTCTTTACACACTAGAAGACCTGGAAAATACAAAATTTATGTTTATTTTAACGGGGCAACTGTTAAAGGAAGGTATAAAAGATCGAACGAATAATAACTTAATTTAACACTGTTATTATTCTTAATCACCAGTAACTATTTAATTATGTTAAATTTTCCATTAAATTTTCTCGATGAATTTAATTTCATATTTTTACTTCCTTTTTTATTTATTTAACTATTTTAATTTCTATTCTCAATACTGTTTATACACTAAATAATTATACATCTTTTTTTCATTGATATTTATTAATTGTATTATGCACATTGATTGAAAATAATGACATGTGAAGGAGTATCTACTTACATTTTAGTTAAAAGTTACCTTTAAAAGTTATAGTTAACTTATAGGTAACTATTTTAGTAAAAAATACTTTTAAATAAATTAAGAATACATTATTTAGGCAATAGAAGTAGACATCTATATCTACCAATTTTTCGTATCTAATTGAAATTTCAAAATAGTAAAATAAAAACTTTTTTGTCTTGACCTTGAAAAGTTAATTAAAATAAAGAATGACAATGCATTAAAAAAATCTGTTGTGGATAATGACGATGATCATCATTATTGAACCAAACTATATGTATCAAATAATAATTCTAACATATTTGTTATAGGCTTTTAGAAATTTTTATAAGTTATAACATCTTTATAATACTGATATCAATAATATCTATTTGCAATAATGCTTATTTATTTATAAATTTATAATATATTGTAGGAAGTCCATTTCCTCTTAGAGTGGGTACAAAAGAAGACATCAAGCGACATAGAAGCATGAGTAAGTTTTATTTTTAAATCAAGTTTAAAATTCTATTATCGTTATTATGATTATATTACTTATGAATTATGATACATATCTATAAAATTATTAAATAATTTGCTATGCATATGATTGTCATATTCGTATATATAATATACTTCATATAGACAACTATGTAATAATTAGTAAATATAATATTATCATTACTTTAGAACATATTTATTTTTTAGCACCTACAAAATTAGTCAATGGAAACAGCTCTTCTGCTTTCAGTAAGTTTATTTCATACACATAATATTTAAGCTATAAATTATATTTTAATATATTTTAGATGACTTTACTTCTTCTAATGAATACAATAAAATTGGTCTTCTTAGACCTATTTCACCTCTACAATCGCCAAAATTCACTTCTTCTCCTATAAATCATCTGCATAGTAATGTGTATAAAGTAGGTTTTATTTTTAATAATAATTTATTAACACATTTTTTAATATATTTTTATATTTATTTGATAGACAACCAACCATTCGGAATCTGGATTTCATAGCATCTCATCGCCGTTACATTTAAATATTCCTAGTTCTCTATCTCCAAATCATAGTTATGTATCACCAAAAAGTGCTTTGTCTCCGTCAAAATCAAAAAATAATGGTAAGATTATCTTTTATTATTATTTATTCCTAACAATGGTTTTATGCTTATGTATAACTATTATTTTTTTTACAGATATAGTTTTTGGAGAAAATATGCAACTCATGCCCATAAATAGGTATTCAACGATTTACATAAATTCTGACGAGGTACTTGCCAATATTAATGTCACAGTGATTGGTAGGTTAATTTCATGGTAAAAAAAATATTCAGTTCATTTTTTATACAATAATTTTGAATTGCTATAGGCCCATCAAATAAGACAATTCCTGTGAGAATGTCTAGGAACATTGCGCAAGGTCACGTTTTAGCACAGTTTACAGCTGAACAAATTGGAGAACATTCAATTGATGTAAAAATTAATGGTACTAAAGTTGCTGGTTCTCCATTCAGGTAAATTTAAACTAAATTTAAGAATATCTATAAAACGTTTGTGTTAATGAAAAATTGTTTAATGAGGTATAATATGAGTATATAATTATAACTTTTTACCATAATTTATATGCAATGAAATGTAACACTTAAAAAATATAGTATTATCGTTGTTTATTTAAAAAATTAACATTATTTATTTAAATACTTTTTTTTCAGGAGTCATGCATATGATGTGTATGCTATTAAAGTCGGCCATATACCAAATGGAGTGGTGGGTGAACCAGTAGAATTTGAAAGTAATTATGAACTATAAAAGTTGAATCTGAATAAGAAATAAAAAAAAAAAATTTAAATGGTTTTTTAACACTTTGAAACTTTATTATCTAGTTGATGGATCAGGAGCAGGGTCTGGTAACTTGGAAATTCTTGTAAATGGAGGACACGTCACTAGTTTTGTTCGAAATTTGGGCAATCAAAAATTTTTGGCGTCATTTGTTCCACATAAAGCACTTATTCATTTAGTTGATATGAAATTTAACAACGAACAAGTACCAGGTAGATAGTATATTTTAATCTATTCATTATTGTTAAAAATATCTAGAAAAAAGGTTCCCACGATTAAGTTAACAAGATTAAATGAGGCGAATAGAGACTAAAATTATAATAATATAGTTGAGAATGTCTATTAACTTTTACTGAATATATCACATATCTATTTAATGTGTTTTAAGAGCCTAATATATTATTACAATAGGTTGTGAGTATTTGTATAGATAATTAACTAGGTATCTAGTTAATTATAAAATAGCAAAAAAAAGTCAGGATAATTTGTAGGTATTAAATTAAGTATATGTACTTGAGTACTTAAGTACCTACTTGTGTACTTACTCAAGTAATCAATTTAGGTAGACGCAAAAAATAATGGAAAAAATATGGATAATATACATTTACATAATAATTGCATGTAATTGTTTTAACTATAGCGATTGACTTTATTAAGTAAATATGTAGATACCTAGAACTGTTCTAGGTATCTATATTTTTATGAATTGTTTTCATATTGGGTTCCTACGTAGATTTGAATATTATTATTATTTAATTCATTTCAGATCTATGGGTTCCTTACTTTTGAATAATTATAAATTATAATATTATAGGTCAATTATTAATCCCTTTTAGGCTATTTTTACAATACTTAAATAGTTATAATTTATAATGATAGATTTTATATACAATATTAGTGCTTTATTTCACTTAAAATTCACATTGTTTAATAAATATTGTATCATTATAAGCAGTAGTTTTTTATACATAATTATTTACAGTTATTTGCTATATTCATACAGATGTTATCTATCAAATATGGGTAGCTATTGACTAATATTAATAACGTTAGATACTGTAAATAATTAAATTATTGAGATAAATGCTAATGGTTAATGGTTACCTATTTAAAAAAACTTGTTACAAAACAATTTGGCTAATTATATTATTATTTATTGTGAAATTCGTCACAGTTATAATGTTTGTTAATACTTTTTAGTCGATGTCTAATATAAGCTAATGACTCATAGCCTTAAGTAAATTGTAAGAACTTATTAGCTAAAAATTTAAAAAGTTTTAACGTTATTTATGGTTTACGTTCATAGGTAAAATGTTAACCAAATGTTGTATGCATGAAATGATTCGTCACAATTTAAAAAATAAAAATAAAACCCCATTAAAACTCAACTCCCACACATATATTAAGTGTCCTAATTTATGTTTTGAGTGCATCTGTATTTTTTTAATAAACAAATAATACATATATGTATATACACAATACATGTATATCGTATATGTGTACTGTATATATATATATATATCACTATTAAAATATAAAAGCTTCATATATAAATTTAGGTACTAAAATAAATATATGTATATATACTTACGTTTGCAATTAAAAAAAAAATTAAAATATTGGCATAAAATCTGTACATATGATATTAGCGGACAGTGACATAACCAAGGATTTTTCAATGGTGGGTGGAGGGACTTAACATATTAAATACAAATTAGGTACGGTAACTAATTCTTTTCACTATAAAGTATTATAGAAATACATTTATATTATATAAATGTAATTTATATTTGTTTAATAGTAATAAGCGTTTCATGTTATATTATGGTACGTTAAAATATATTAATTAATTTTACTTTTTAATTTTTACATAATGAGAATATAATAATTTCATTATTTGATTCATAGCTTAATTGTATTCTTTTGAGGTTATTTTATTCGGAAAATCGTTTGGTTATAGACATAGCATAAATATAATTACAGGATGCTATTTTAATAATCATTATATTTAGCAATAATTACAATTTTTGAAAGTATTATTTTTTCATAATTAATAAAATTACATTGAATAGTATTTATTAATTTTTTTTTTTTTTTGATTTCCTTTAAATATATTTTGTATATGAAAAAATAAAATTTTGAATGAGTAGTTATATTAAGTTACAAGTATTTAAATTTTAGATTAGCGGAGTATATAATAACCAACAATATTTCGAGATACTAAGGTTCTTCGACTTCACTCATCCGTATTACAATACTTATTTAAGTATTATAATTTATTACTTATATTATTCGAAATACTCGTAAAAATATTCTGTCACTATATGAAATTAAGAAATTATCGTTTTTCGTTGATATGTTGACATTCAAAAAATTAAAATATTTAAAAAGATAATGTTGAAAAGTTAGATAAAATGATGTTTATAATATTATAATTAAATATTGTGAGTATTTAAAAATAAAAAATAATTTTTTAAATTATGAATGTTCTTCTATAAAATAATCATTTTATATAATATATAAAGTACATTTAAATTTTTTTCATACAATTTCATTGTAATGTATACTCAATTGTATAAAGATTTCTTTATATTATACGTATACCTATGATTGAAAATAATAATAAAAGTTATTATTTACCTATCATTATTTAGTATTCCACATACCTAATATTGTTCATTATTTTATAAATAAATTATTATTTATTGAATATAAGATAATATGATTTTAATGTTTCAAGTTTTCAATGCTAAGTCATTTGTATCTTTAATTTTTTATCATAGTCAATGGAGAAGTCTAAAGTCTTCTTAGCCCCTCCCCTCAAGTGTACGCCACCGTTGGTGTATTATTATAATATTCACTTATTGTTATTATAACCTTGAAAATCCATTTATTCTCTAAGAATTAAGATCTAAGAATCTAGACTAAAATACTGAAATTATTGTTGCGGTGTATTATGTATCATATTCAATAACGTTCTATATTTGTAAAACGTATAGCAAAAAAGACAAAAAATGAAGAGAAGATTTTTAGTTATTGAAAATTAAATTTTTAAAATTATCAGTAAGCATGCAAAATGGATTTAAATAACTTTTTTCAATAATTTATTGACATTATTCAGAGGACGCTACAATAAATGGACATACTCAAATACTCTGTTAATTCATTTTAATAAATAATTTCCAAAATGTCTTTTGTAGGTTTGTTCTCAATTTTTATATTTTTAAGCATGTCTTCCTGTAACATTCATAAATCAGGTGTTTAGATGTGTTTAATACCTTCGGGTACGTGATTTCATCGTCAAAAATATTTTCACTGAATCAGCCTTATTATTGCTAATATATTTTTCGGATTCAGTTAATATAAACTCATTCTAATTCCTATCGCTTACTTAGTTCTCACAAAATATAACTTTAATCATTGAAAAATATTATAAGTCAAATACAATTGTAACATAATATAATTTACTAGTGGCATAAATTGTTCAAATGCTCATACATAATATTTTGTTGTAACAATAATAATAGCTTACACATTTTAACATAATATCTATGAAATAGACAATAAAAGTAAATAAAATATAATAGGAAGACATTTTTATAAGGAGTAATTTCTAAATTCGATTTAAACATAATTATCAATTATTTTTGTCAAAAAAATTAAGAGTCACCTATTCACAAGAACAACAAAAAATTCGGTTAGTATTTGACTAAAGATTTATTTGTTAACATTTAGAGAATAATATATACTAATTAAAATTTAAAATATCGCAATCGACTATTTTTTTATTACAATATTAGTTATTATGAATTATTTTCGATATTTATTGTTAGATAATATAGTAATAAAGCAATTTTTGAGCATATAAAATATTATTCATAGAAAACATGTTTTTATTATATTTTATTATTGGACGTTTCGTTTTATTATTGTTTTTTTTATACATGAATATAACCAAAATTCGTAAGACCTTTTGTTTGTTACATTTGTAATCAGTTGCTTATATTTGTGTGGTGATATTATTATTAGGTAATATGTATTTGTAAGTAATGTATAACATTAAACAATTAATAATAATATGATATATTTTGTCACACATGCATCTGCATCGATAGTTAAGCGTAAAATATTTGATACCAGTTGAAGATATCCTTTTTCCTTCCGTAATAATGTAATATCAATGCAGGCGTCAGTATAGTGTGCAAGGGGGAGAAATATCAAGAATTATATCCTCCTACACTTACATTGTTTTTTTTTTTATGTGACCTATCACTTTTATAATAGAGTTGTTATTATACGTACTAATTAATAAATTAATACCATCTCCTTTCACATAATTAAAATCATATGGGGCGGGAGAAAATACGTATTTTTAGTACTATCCTGGACCCTGGTAAAAATTAAGATTTCAAAGTTTTATTTTTTTTTTTTAATATAATGTACAATATGGCAATATGGCTATAAACATGCAAATTTATCTTTGAAATTCAAACGACATTCTTATCTCTTAAAATGAAAAATAGGTACACGGAACCGCATTTAGCAACATGTGTCGACAGTATACTTAAATAATAAAAATTAATTTATTTGAAATTTTTTTTTGTTAATGTAGAGTAATTTTCCCGTAAGTAAGATGTAAGTTAAATTTTGAAATTCGCAAGTACTCCATCTCTCTCGAAATCAAAATTATATAGTGACCAGATACGTAATTTTTGATCTTTCCTAGTACAAATTAAGATTTTCAAAATTATTTTTACTAATAAAAATAGTTATAGTGAAAATACAAGCCCAATTTTTAAATTTGTAAGAATCCTTTTCCCTCAAAATCAAAATTACATGGAATAGTTTGAAATACCTATGTATTTATAGCTCAATCCTATTTAAAAATAATTAATATTTTCAATTTTTTTTTCGAATGTACATCATGCCCATTCATGCCCTACCGCCCCCTACTTATTATAAAATATTCTGTAGGTACTTTTATTTAACTATACAGTACATGTACAAAATCTTTACACTTATGTGTTATCACTAATCACTTATCAGTTATCAGCAGTTACTTTAAACTGTATTAAAACGTTTTCGCCGAAACGTCTTGACGTGGTGCTTAGTGTCAACATTGGTCTGAGACATCGGATATGGTCGACGTCTATAGACTCTGTCTGACGCTGCAGAGAAAAGTACCTTCACACTTATATAATATATATACTGC